CTCATGAACTCATGTTGTTAAAATTCTAAACAAAATGGCGAGTAGAAATAAACCAGCAATAAGGATGCTACAGGACAACACGAGTTGGGTTTATATTCCAGGAAAACAGAAATCAATGCAGTTCACCAAGTTAACAGATTGACAAAGAAAAATCATACGACCATCTGAGCAGATGCAGGGAAAACATCTGTTATAAATTCTACTTCCATGTATGACTAAAAAGAAAACAGACACTCAGCAAACTGGGAATAGGAAGGAACTTCTTTCATCTGGTAAAAATTACCTGCCAAAACCCTCGAGTGAACATTATACCTGGTTATCAAATGTAGAGCTCCCTAAGAGCTGCAAGGGCAAAATGCCTGCTATCCCGTTTTTAATTCATTCTCATGCTAAGGTGTTAGGGCAGTAAGACAAGGGGGAGAGGGATGGGGGAGAAATAGGAACGTAAGAATTGTAAAGAAAGAAACCAAACTTTTACTTTCACTTCCTATAATTGTATTATATACCAGAGGCCCGAGGCACACAATTCGCACCCAGGGGCAGGGAGGATGTGTTCCTCAGCCCAGCCTGCACCCTCTCCAATCTGGGACCCCTCGAGAGATGTCTGACTGTGGGATCGGGCCTAAATGGGCAGTTGGATGTCCCTCTCACAATCCAGGACTGCTGGATCCCAAATGCTCGCCTAACTGCTTCTGCCTGCCAGCCTGATCACCCCCTAACCACTCCCATGCCAGCCTGATTGATGTCTAACTGCTCCCCTGCCAGCCTGTTTGCCCCCAACTTCCCTCTTCTGCTGGCCTGGTCACCCCTAACTGCCCTCCCCTGCAAGGTTGATCACCTCCAACTGCCCTCCCTTGCAGGCCTGGTGCCTCCCAACTGCCCTCCCCTGCTGGCCATCTTGTGGTGGCCATCTTGTGTCCACATAGGAGCAGGATCTTTGACTACATGGGGGCAGCTATATTGTGTGTTGGAGTGATGGTCAATCTGAATATTACTCTTTTATTAGATAGGATAGAGGCCTGGTGCACTGGTGGGGGGCAGCTGGTTTGCCCTTAAGGGTGTCTCAGATCAGGGTGGGGGTTCACTTGGAATGTGGGGCAGCCTGAGCGAGGGGCCTGTGGTGATTTGCAGGCCAGCCATGCCCCCTGGAGACCCAAGTGGAGGCCCTGATATTTGGAATTTATTTACCTTCTACATTTGAAACTTTGTAGCCTGGAGCGGAGCCAAGCCTTCTGCTTGCTCCATGGCTGTCACCATTTCTGTTTGGATTTGTTTACTTTCTATAATTGAAATGCTTTAGCCTTGAGTGGAGGCTTAGGCTGGCCAGGGCAGGCGGAAAGCTTGGCTTCTTCTGTTGCCACATCTCCCTCCTGCTCTCTGTGGCTGTAGCCATCTTAGTTGGGTTTATTTGCATAACTCTGATTGGCTGGTGGGCATGGCTTGTGGGTGTAGCGGGGTGATGGTTAATTTGCATATTACTCTTTTATTAGGTAGGCTAGTGTTCCCAAAAGAATCTTATTTTTCCCAAATATGACCTATAGAACATTAAGTTAAAATGTATATTATTTAAAATAGCATGGAAAATATCCAACAACTAGCAAAGATCTAAAAAATATATATATGTGCAATACCACCAAGAGAAAATTAGGAAACTGCACCAAGAGAAGGTAAAGGTATCCTAATTAATGAAGAGAAATACCATGTTCATGGAAGATGAAACGTACTGTTAGACCCTATGTGGACCAATAGGGAGCTCAGCAATAACAGCTCCCAGGTCAGAACAACCTGGGCTTCTAATCTGTGTTACTCTGGGCATTCCACCAACCTCCCCAAACCTTTTCCTCACCTGTAAAACAGGAATAGCCATCCTACCTAGTTGTTAGGAGTCAATGGATGGAAGCCCTTTGTAGGGTGCTGTATGAATGCAGGGGGTTCTTATGACTAGCATTATTGCTCCTTGTTGGTCTGAGGGTGGGAGAAAGTTTTCTCTCCCAGATTAGGCCAGCTGTGTCCCTGTTTCTGCTCATTAATCTGTCAGTGAGGGCAGTGTTCAGTGCTTATTCTGTGCATAACATTTCCTCATTCAGTTCTCCCAGCAACCTACACGGCAGATGCTATCCTAGCCCCATTTTACATGTGACAAAGCTGAGGCTCAATCAAGCAACTTGTCATTCATATATATTCGTTCATTGATTCGGCATTCATGAGCCCCTTCTGTGGGCTAAGAGCTAAGACGGACATGGTCTCTGCTCTCTCAGGACTGCGAGTCTAGTTAAGAAGATAGTCAAAAATCTTATCTCAACTACACAAGCTGGCAGAACCAAGATTCAAACGCAGGTCTGTTAGACACCAGAGCCCATGCTTTTAAGCACTCCCTGGAGGTGCCTTCCTCAAGCTCCTCTGCTCCATCCTCTCTGTTGTAATGATTTCTAACATCCATTCTGCTGGCAGCATCACGTTTCAATGGGCCTTGCTAGCCAAGCTGTTGCACAAATGGTGAGCTGTCAGCTTTGATCCTGGCCCATGTGATTCTTGTGCATGATCGCTGGAGAATTACAGCGGGGAAAGTGAGCAGGAAGGAAGAGAGGCATCCTGGTCTCTCTTCCCACAGCATCAGTGGCATTGTTCCTGATGAGTGTGTGCCTGAGTCCCCGGCTACCATTAATGGCAGAAGTGAGTCACTTATAAATAAGATACAGGAGCTTTATTATAATTACATCCCGCAATTCAGAAGTGCTCAGCATCACTGTGCAAGGGAGGGCAGCAGGCAACTGGGGCCTGAATGATCCTCTGCCAGGTACATCTTGCAGATAAAATGTCTTGGATCAGGAGCAATTACTGCTAACGTCCAGCCTGAATGCTAATGAGAAGTACTTAAAATTGCATGTAATTCTTGGCCATTTTATACTATCTGCTTTCCTCTTCTTTTCTCTGCTTTCCCATCCTGATAAACATACTCAGGGAAAATATGATTAATGGCCATTTTGCAGATGAGGGAACTGATGCTCAAGGTCACTCAGCTCAAAGGGTCAAGGTGGGATCCTAACCCTGAACTTTTTTTACTCCACCATTCTGTCTTTAAGGGAAAACAGAACTCTGGATGTGTCCACTTTACTTGGAAGGTGCACAAAATATCCCAAGTCCGTAGGACAATCGGAAAGGCACTGGGGTGGTATGCTCTGTTGAAAGCTTTGCCTTGGTGAGGACATGGCAGCTGTAGCTAGACCCTGTGAAATTCACTTTCACCCTACCCTCTGGCATCCCACAACCACTGAGAAGCCCACATTTGTTCCTTAGGGACCTGAGAAACGACCGTGAAGAGAGGGCCTTTGCAAGAAAGGAAGAGCTTTTCTCCTGCCCACACAAGTCAGAAAATGGCCCCAGGTCCATTCAACAAGCCAGAGAGTAAGGTTTAAGCAGCAGCATGAAGGAGTGAGGTTGGCCATAACAGTGATAACTGTGGTAATGCCAAGCTTTTGCTGAGTGCCCAGTAGGGCTCCGGAAGTTTAAGTGAGTCTGCCTCGAGACTTTGGGGCTTAGGCTATTGAAAGGTTGGGGTTGCACTAAGACCTCTGGGACACACATTTCTATCTAACACTAGATCTCATCCCCCTCTACAGACAAGAGAGCAAGGGGCTTGCAGAGGTGGGGCAGCGTGCAGGTGGCAGAGACAGGATAAAAGCTTGACCTTCAGAGCAACACAGTAACAGCTAACATTTCAATAGCACTTTTAGGTATTCCATGGTGCCATTTAGGTACTTTAATACCCATGAACGTGATTCTCTCACCAACCCCAGTGAGGAAGGTGCTAGGAACACTCCTATTCTAAAAACGGGGAACTGAGGAACAGAGAGGTAGAGCGACTAGCCCAAGGCCACAGAGCTCCTCAGTGATAGCACTGGCGTTTGAGCCAGCTCTGGGACCCACAGCTTTTATCTCTTTGCTATGCCTCCTCCTTGTTACAGAAAGCCACGCCATTTTCCATCAGCCAGGCCTTGCATGTAAAAATGGAAGTACAAACACTTAACTCAGAGAGAGTCCAAGGAAAGGAAGTTCTTCCCACCTGGGAAACACAGCCCAGGGCCAAGAGGGACCACTCCCAGCCCAAGACTGCCTAAACGACTCCCCTGGGCCACAGGGTAGGGGCCTTGGCAGGCCGCGCCCGCCTCCACCCAGCTCTGAATCATGGACAGGCTGTGCTGGGCCACCTCCCACCTTGTAAGGATTCTCTGCCACTTGAAAATGGTACAGACTTCCCTACAGACTCTCCCTCCACTAAGAAAATACTTAGTCTTGAGTCAGCCGGTAGCATTAGGAGGTTTGCCCTCAGGTGTGAAGGTCTGTCTAGTGAGCCTTGAAGATTTGCATGGGGCTGTTAGAGATTCACACGGGGTTGTCGGGGATTCCTATGAGTGGCCGGCCACTAAGCAGTATGTCTCCTGCAGGACACCTGCTAGAGAGAAAGGACAGCTGCCGCATCTCTCTAGTCTTCCCCTTGGCTGCTGACCGCCACAAGCAGGGGAAACCTAAGGTCCCATCTGCACGCTAAGATCCATATTCAAATTGTAACTCTGCTGCGGACCAGCTGGGCAGCCTCAGGCAAATTACTTCACCTTCTCTGAGCTTCATAGAGTATCTCTGTTCCAAGAGGCTAGTAGTAATAGCGTCTACCTTGCAAGGCTGCTGTGAGGACGAATTGGGATTTAATGATACTCGGTTCATTCCATCCTCTCTCCTTCTCCCAGTCTCTGCTGGTTCCCGGTTGCCTCCCAGATAAAAGCCAAGATTGGGGCATTCAAACCTCTTCCTGTCAGACCTCCAACGCCCCTCTCCTTCATGCTCTGGAGATGCACTCCGTCTCTGTTCCAGACACAGGGACTTTCCCTTCATCGCATAAAGTTTCCCAAGTACATTCCCGCCAGGGGACACGGCTCACACAGAGGTACAAGGCTCAAGTCTGGCTGAGGTGGCAGCACCCCGCCAGAGGACAGCGACCCTACCTGGTGCAGCAGGGTACTGCCAGCTCCCACGCAGCAGGCGCCTCAGAGTCTCAGGGATTCCGCGGGGTCTTCTTCTTGGGGAGGAGGGGGCTAACCACCTAGAAAGAGAGAGTGGCTTCCGTGAAGACCTGCCGCGCTCCAGCTCCTGCTCCTGCCTTCCTTGGCTCCTTCCAGAAAAATGGAGAGCACCTTCCAGAATTGAGTGTCCTCTCCCCCTTTTTTCCTGGGGACCAGCAGCCCCCATGCGCTTCTACCAGGAGAATCCACTCCCTGGCAGCGATTTTTCCAAAGTGCCCTTCGCACCTGTTAGGTCTGCCTCGCCTGGGCTCGCAGCCCGGCTACCGTAGACCGTGGGCGGTGGTCTCCACGCGTCCCACCCACACCCGACCCCTGGCCACGCGGAGCCTGGGGCTCGCCTGCCGGCGGTGAAGTTAGGTCCGGAGACTTGGAAGCTCAAAAGCCTTGCTCTCTCCTAAGCACAGCGCTCCCTCTCTACACCTCAGTCTTCTCCTCTGAAAAAAGGGTAGGATAACACCCGGCCGCAAGCAGAGGGGACCTAAGGCCGCATCCAATGAAAGGAAGAACTGAACGAGAGATCCTGGATGCCCATTTGGCACAAACAACGCACTCAGACTACGGATGGGCTGGGACTACGATTCGCATCAAACTCTGAGCCAGCCTATAGCCAGGGAGAGCTGGGACTCCCTTCTCCGCTCCGGCTCCACCCCGGAGAGAGGGGCGCGGGGCGCGCACCCGGGCCGGTGCCGGGGAAGCCACAGGTGTGTGCCCGTCGAGGCGCTGGGGCCAAACCTGAGCGCCCGGGAGGGTGCCATGGAGAGGGGTGCGCTACGGAACCCCACACAAGCCCCCGGCGCCCCCCCCCCTCCACCCCACGCCGGCGGCTCTCAGGTTCTCCCCCAGGCTCCTCGGGGATGGACGCCCGGACCTCAGCCAGACCGGCGCGCAGCCCGGCCATCCCGCCCCGGCCCCGCTCCCGCGCCCCTGCCGCCCAGGACGCCCAGGACGCCCCGGCTCTTACTCACCCGGCGGCTCCGGGAAAGTTTAGGGCTGCCTGGCTGCTCCGTGCTTCTTGGCTGCGGCGTGAGGGAGCCGACTGGAGAGGCAGGGCTCCCGGGGAGGAGCCGCCGGGCGGGGGCGGCCGGAGGGAGGGAGAGGAGGGAGGGAGGGAGCGAGCAAGGCGGAGACCCGAGCCCGCTGGCCTGCAGCGCCTCCGCCTCCGCCTCCACCTCCTCCGCTCGGCGCTCCCAGGCCCCCGCGCCGGGAGGGGGCGCCAGGCGGGCTCCGCGGCTTGGACACCCCGGCGTGCCAGCCGCCCGCCCGCCCACGGGTCGGAGCTGCGGCTCCCCAGCCTCTGGCTCGGCTTTGTCGGGTTGCAGAGAGGTGAAATGCGAGTGAGAGCCGAGGGCAGGCAGACAGAGACATAGGGGAGTCCAGATACAGAAGCAGAGCTGGACATGGAGACGAGACGGTGCTGGGCAAAGCCCACCACAGACCCCCTGGCAGACACACACCTACGGGGATACCCCGTCTCCCCTCATCCCTGCTAGAGAGGCCAGAATAGAAAAAGACGGACAGCCAAAGCCAGGCAGACAGAATAACTGACAGGCGGGCACCTACCCCTAGAAGTTTCAAGGGCAACTCCAGACCCCCTCACCTACTGCCCTCCACGGGGTCTAGAAGGCCACTCCTCTTCCCTGTTTCCCCCTAACTGCTCCGGAGGAGCTCAAGGTTCCATTAGCATCTGTGAGCAGAGCCTGGGGCGGTGGGGTTTGCCAGGGGGAGGGGGGGGGGGGGGGGGAGATAAAGTTCTGCGGATCCCACAAGCCTCTCTGTCCTCTGACTGGGCGGGAAGGGGCACAGGGGCCTTGAGAGTTCATACCCATTTTCTTCATTTCCAAGCTGGGGGAAGAGGCAGTTTTTTGTTTTTGTCCTTGCCAGGAAAATGCCCTTTGAACACCTTAAACAGATATTTAGATCTTATCTACTACACACTTCAAAAGAGCCAGGCAATTTCTGAGGGAGAGGAGAGTATTTGAGGAGGACCTGGGGTGAGGGGTGCTGGGGTGTGGATTTGGGGCCTCCTGGGGGTATGTAAGCCTCTTCTGAGTTGAGGGCACTTCCACTCAGTGGGTCATATAGAGCTGGTGGAAGACCCAGCTTCAGAAGCTGAGTACGGTGATGAGTCATCCCTCTCTCTGGCCTCAGGGTCCATTTCTATCAAATGAGAATTGATAAAAACAGTTGTCACTGTGCCATACATTCTTCTCAGTGCTGCAGATGCTCACTTTGTTAATCCACAGCCAGAATAAGTAGGAACTATTGGTATCCCTATTTAACAGAGAAGAAAACTGGGGTACAGAGTGGTTAAGTATCTTGCTCAAGGTCACACAGCTACTATGTAGGGGAACTGGGAATCCACCCTATGCAGCCTGGGTACAAGGCCCAAGGTCATTGTTATTGTGCTCTAACCTTTATGACAATGGGGCCCAGGGAATGTTCCATGAAATCATTTATGTAAGGGACTTAGTAAGTGCTCCATTACTGGTAGCTCATCGACCAGGATGCCTGTGGGAAAGGTGGGATTAAAGGGCTGATTCGGAAGCCCAGAGATAGGACACTTTGGGTTGGAGGTAGCTGACAGGCCACGTGACTGTCCCGAGTACCGAGTACCGGCTCTGAATCAGCCCCCTGAACATTAACATGAGCCCACACCAGGACTCTCTCTGAATCCACAATAAGCCCATTCCCTGGTCTCCATACCAATACACCTTTGGAACTGAGTTAACACTGGGGTAACAACTAGTATAAACTCAAAGGGAAATGCGTTTCTGCTCTCTACAGCTGCGGGGATGACAGAACCAAGTGGGGAGGGGGTAGTCAGGAGTGGGGGAATGAGGGACCTCAGAAATGACTGTATTTACTTCCATCCCCTCTCTCTCCTTTCTTCGAGTCAGCAAAGGCTTGATTATTTGGAATTCCTCTCCAAAGTTTCACTTCCTGGGCTGTTTTTAGGCCTGCTAAGCTCACAGGGGTCAGCATTTTTAGAAATGTCAGCCTTTTAGGAACAGCATGCCAGACACTATTTGAAGCCCCTGGTGACCAGGGTACGTATGCTTTGTTGTGGCATCTGGAACTGATACAGAATGAGATAACTCAGGCCAGATCCTGAGTGTGTGGGCTGGAGATGGGATCGCCAGTTTACTAACAATATAGGCAGCAGATGAAAAGTAACAGCTACTTCCCATGTGCCCACCTGTGTTCTAAGAGTGTCACATAATCTACCGTGTTTCCCTGAAAATAAGCCACCCTCCGAAAATAAGACCTAGCACATGGAAAGATAAGACATCCCCTGAAAATAAGACCTAGCGCAACTTTGGGAGAAAAAATTAATATAAGACACTGTCTTATTTTCGGGTAAACAGGGTAATACAAATACTCCTCAAAACATGAGGTAAATAGTATTATCAACCCCCCCCCCCTTTTTTTTTTCAGGTGAGAAAACTGAGGCACAAACTCATGGAGAGACTTGTTCAGAGTATACAGTCCATAGGTCATGCCAAGGTCAGACAGTTAGGTAGAAGCTGAACCAGGTCTGGAACCTGAGTCAGTCTGTCTCTACAGACTTGTTCCTACTTCTGTGCTTTGTGGAAGAAAGCTAGAAAAGGAATAGCACATGTGCTCCTGAATAGAGATTAGAGATACAGATTGGAAAGAGGTAGATTAAAAATATCGACTCTGCCACTTGTTAGCTCTATGCTTACTTTGCTTCTCGGAGGCTCAATTTCTTCACTTGCAAAATGAGAATAATAATGTCTGTGTCATATCCAGGGTTTTAGTGGTAATTCTCCTGGTTGCAGTTAACATAAACCCAGTTTTAACCAGCTTCGGCCAAAAAAGGATTCTGAACTGAAAAATTTAGGAAGTAGTTTGGGGTTCAGACATTGTCCATGCCAGAAGCTCAAAGGAAGTTGTCACAAATCTGTTTCCCTCTTTGCTGTTTTGCTTTGTGTCAGTTTTGTTAGCAGGATGGATCTTTCCACAAGAAGGCAGAAATGGCTGATTAAGCAACTTCAAGGCAAAGACATCCCTTCCTTCCCAATACTTCCAGCAAAAATCCCAGGGTTGACTCCCATTGGCTTGGCTTGGGTCACATGTTCAGCTCTGAATCCATCACAGTTGCTCCAATTGGCCAAGCCTGAGTCACATGCCTATGACTAGAGTTGGTCTGTCCTAAGTCACAAGGACTAAGAGTTGGTGAAGGATGGTTCCCTAAAAGAAAGTCAGGGTGCTATCAGCTGAACTATGGGGCACTGGTGCTGGAGATGCACAGATATCCAATTCCTCGTCGAGCTGTCATTAGCATTAAAGACATTTGTATGTGCAAAGTGCTCCACTCTGATGGCCACTGAGACCCTTCCTTCTTCCCTCTCCCATAGGAAACAGGACTAATGGCTCACCAAATCCATGCCAATTGCTTCCTTCATCATATGGAGAAAAACTAAGTTCCAGAGAGGGGAAGGGACTTGCCACAGAACCCAGCTGATCAGCTATAGATTCTGTCTCCTGATCTGAAACAAATCCCAAAGTCTTAGCTGAGAAGTTTCAGATCTCCCACAAACCATGGGAATTTTCTCTGAAGTTTTTACACAGGAACTGGAAAAACACAAAGCACTTAAGACCCACAGGAAGAAAATGCCACTTATGACGGACAGCTCTGGACTGGTAGATCCGGGCAGGCTGCCCGATCCAGCTCCCCACCCACCACTTTGTGAATTCAGCCATTTCCTCTGGGGACCCTGCACTCTGGGTGCTAAGAAACAAATGGTCATTTTTCATGTAGTTGCCCAAAGCAGGCAACATCGCCCTCCCCTTGCTTTGTTTCACGCTCTGTTTGTGAGAACAAATGTGTATCCTTTAGGGCCAAAGTGGGCCATGTAACAAGATGTTACCATATTTTCTGGCATATAAGACGACTTTTGAAATGAAAAAAAGCCTTCTCAGATTGGCCAGAGTTCTATTTAAAAAAGAACTGGTATTGCCTCGGAAGTGGGGGGTAGTCTTATACAGTGAATATAGGCCTAAACCTATGTTTTAACTGTAAAATTAGGGGGGTCGTCTTATACGCCGGAAAATACTGTAGATAGAATTATTAAAACTGACCCTTTCAACGTGGCTCTGAATAAGTTCCCGTGTTTCTGGCCTTGGGCAGCAAGTCTGACCTCTCTAATTCAGTTAGTCTGGCGTGTTGTAAAGCCTACCTGTGTAAAGTGAGCAAGAATAGCAGATAGCAAGCTGGAAGGACAAGACCTACTCTTCCCATCCCTCCATAAGTTAAAGCACATGGACTTGGTGTGCATGCTGCTGGAGGAAGTTAAACTGACACAGCCTTCCTGGAAAGCAATTGGGAACCAAGTATCTAGAATTTTAAAAAGGTTTAGTCTGTTGTTCTGTTCTCTAAGAGTTTTTCTTGAGAAAATAATCATATCAAGATATACATAAAGATGTTCATTACAGGATTGTGTATAATAATGAAAGACTGAAAATACCCTCATGTCTAACTATAGGAAGTTGGTTAACTAAATTATGGTACATCAACAAAATGGACTATATTACACAGCTGTTAAAATCATACTAGAGTATATGGAATAATAGAATGGACTATTGTACAGCTGTTAAAATCATACTAGAGACTATGTATCATGCTAGTTATGATACAAACAAGTTAAAAGGGCAAGTCATAAGAGACAAAGTATGGCCCTAACCGGTTTGGCTCAGTGGATAGTGTTGGCCTACAGAATGAAAGATCCCAGGTTTGATTCTGGTCAAGGGCATGTACCTTGGTTGCTGGCACATCCCCAGTAGGAGGTGTGCAGGAAGCAGCTGATCGATGTTTCTCTCTCATCAGTGTTTCTGACTCTCTATCCCTCTCCCTTACTCTCTGTAAAAAAAATCAATTATATATATATATATATATATATATATATATATATATGACAAAGTATGCATTTTTGTGAAAATCTATACCTATTTGTGAATAAAAAATACTTAAAGTAGTTGTATCCAGAATACATGGGAAGGAGAGGAAAATTTGTGGGTGCTTTTGGTTTTCACT